ATTTGTAACTATTTGTGTGTCCTCCATATTTTAAAATACATTTTTCCTTAAGCTATTTTGCCTATAATTATCACTTTAGAGATCTCATTATGTTGTCCACACTGGTCTCAAATCCTAGGCTTAAGCAGTCTTCCTGTGTCAGCTTTTGAGTAGCTGGAACTGTAGACACATGCTATCATGCTTTGTTCTTTTCTGAGGATATTTTGAATTATAGTCCTTTTTTTGAGTATTATAATAATCTTATTTTGCCATGCCTTTTCACATTCCTTGTATCTTGTGATAAATAGGAATTCTTAATTATTATCTGTATTTGTCAGGGTTTTACTAGACAGAACAGATATAACCTGGAATATACAGAAACAACAAGATTGGCTTACGATAGTCACAGAGTCCGATGAGGAAGCGTGCAGAGAGTGTCTATGCACTGGAGGCCGAAGGGTTCAATCCAAGATCTCTGGAGTTCACCCTAGTGTCTTGTGCAAGTCCACACCAGCAGGCTGATGGGTCCACGACAGAAGGCCGAAGGCTCTGTGATGAAAAGCTGAAGAGTCTACGCTGGGAAGCTGAAGAGTCTGTACTGGAAGCCAGGAGGCGAGGTCCAAACTTCTGGGGAAGACTGGAGCTTTTCCCAAGAATGGCATAGATTTGTCCTTCCTCCTCTCCTTTTATACCTCGAGGTGATAACTCACCCTAGGGTGGGTCTTCTTCTACATCCTTGGGTGTAGAATTGCTAAACCCATTTAGTTAGCTTCTGTCTCAAGTTGACACAATCAATCAACCACTAGAATCCACCCCTTGTCAACTTGGCAACCAGACACATTTCTTTAAACTAGTTCCAGATACACAAACATGCATATAATTGCACCTAACATGTTATGACTGTCCTTCGTACAAATGGAAACGCAATAATTCCCCTACCAAAATACACAATGTAGCTTTTCTTTGGTTGATGCTTACTCCTATCTGTTCATAAGCTTAACATTATAGCACAAGTTTAACAATTCCCAAAACACAGCATTACGTCTAACATTATGTTACATTGAAACCGTATTTGGGGAGAAGTAGTAATCATAATCCCCTTTTCTGTAACTGATCATGAGGACATAGCTGGTATTTAGAACTTCCTTCTTCCACTACCCATTCTGTATTTCCTTGGCCTTCAGCAAGCACCTCAGCAGGTCTCGGTTCTTTCTCTGGCGGAGTGACCCATACTTTCATTCCTGAAGGTTCTGAACCATGTGTCACTTTGTCTGGATTAGGTTGCTGTAATTTTCCATTAACCTTAATGACAGGGCATGGTAATACTAAAAGGCGCCCTAAGGAATCTCCTGCACTCCATGTATATTCTTCCTTTCCTCCATTGTGGAGTAGTAGTCCAACTTCCCCTTGGTAGTCTGGGTCAATCACCCCTGACAACACTGTGACTCCCTTTTTAGCTTGTTTCCTCAGAGGCAAGAGGAGACCAAAATGACCAGGGGGAAGTCTTAGCTTCCAGTTCAATGGTACCATTGTCGTGCTTCCTGGTATAAGCCTTCCCCCCTCTGGAACCAAAACTTCTAGTCCAGCAGAACATGAAGTCATGGGAACAGGAAGCAAAAATTTTGCTAGTGGATCACTAGGGGTGATGGTGAGTGGCACCATTCCTACTTCCACCCCTTGATTCCTGGACCCATGAATCCTGGCTATGGGAGACACAGTGCCATATAATGGACGTTGATTCAAAGCATATACAGCCTGTTGAAGTACTTTACCCCAGCCTTGCAAATTATTGCCACCTAGCTGGCATTGTAACTGTGTCTTCAAAAGGCCATTCCATCTTTCTATCAATCCAGCTGCTTCTGGATGGTGAGGGACATGGTAGGACCAGTAAATTCCATGAGCATACGCCCACTGTCTCACTTCTTCAGCTGTGAAATGTGTTCCTTGGTCAGAGGCAATGCTATGTGGAATTCCATGACGGTGGATAAGGCATTCCGTGAGTCCACGGATGGTAGTCTTGGCAGAAGCATTACGTGCAGCAAAGGCAAAGCCATATCCAGAATAGGTATCTATGCCAGTGAGGACAAAGAGCAGTCCCTTCCATGATGGAAGTGGTCCAATATAATCAACCTGCCACCAAGTTGCAGGTTGATCACCTCGGGGAATGCTGCCATATCGGGGACTCAGTGTTGGCCTCTGCTGCTGGCATGCTGGGCATTCAGCAGTGGCTGTAGCCAGATCATCCTTGGTCAGTGGCAGTCCATGTTGCTGAGCCCATGCATACCCTCCATCCCTGCCACCATGGCCACTCTGTTCATGGGCCCATTGGGCAATGACCTGGGTGGCTGAAGAAGGAGGTTGGCTACTGTCCAGAGAACGAGTCATCTTATCTACTTGATTATTAAAGTTTTCTTCTGCTGATGTTACCTTTTGGTGAGCATTTACATGGGAAACAAATATTTTCATATCCTTTGCCCATATAGAGAGATCTATCCACATACCTTTTCCCCAAATATCTTTGTCACCAATTTTCCAATTATGTTCCTTCCAAGTTCCTGACCATCTGGCTAGACCATTAGCTGGCCATTTCTTCTTCCAGGCAAAATGTACTGCCAAGTGCACTGCTCGAAGTTCTGCCCTCTGTGATGATTTCCCTTCACCACTATCTTTTAAGGATGTCCTGAAAAGGGGCTGTAATGCTGCAGCTATCCACTTGCGGGTGGTGCCAGCATAACGTGCAGAGCCATCCGTAAACCAGGCCCTAGTCTTCTCCTCCTCTGATAACTGATCATATGGTACACCCCATAAGGCTATAGATGCATGCTGGGAAACTGAAGGCAACATAGTGGGTATAGGAGCCATAGGTGTTTGGGCAACTTCCTCATGTAATTTACTTGTACCTTCCGGGCCTGCTCTGGCTCGATCACGAATATACCACTTCCATTTAATGATAGACTGTTGCTGGGCACATCCAACTTTATGACTTGGTGGGTCAGATAATACCCAGGCCATGATAGGCAACTCAGGTCACATGGTGACCTGGCGTCCTATAGTCAAGTGTTCAGTTTCCACTAGGGCCCAGTAGCAGGCCAACAGCTGTTTTTCAAAGGGAGAGTAGTTGTCTGCAGATGATGGCAGAGCCTTACTCCAAAATCCTAAAGGCCTCCACTGTAATTCACCAATGGGGGCCTGCCAGAGACTCCGAACAGCATCTTTGTTTGTTACTGATACCTCGAGCACCATTGGATCTGTGGGATCATATGGCCCCAGTGGAAGGGCAGCCTGTACAGCAGCCTTGACTTGTTGCAAAGCCTTTTCCTGTTCTGAGCCCCACTCAAAATGAGAAGTTTCTGAGTCACTCGGTAAATGGGGTGGAGTAAGACACCTAAATTAGGAATGTGTTGCCTCCAAAATCCAAATAGGCCCACTAAGCGTTGTGCCTCCTTTTTAGTTGTAGGAGAAGCCAGATGCAACAATTTATCTTTTACCTTAGAAGGGATATCTCTACATGCTCCACACCACTGGACTCCTAGAAATTTCACTGAAGTAGAAGGACCTTGAATTTTTGTTGGATTTATTTCCCATCCTCTGGCTCTCAAATGCCTTACTAATGAATCCAGTGCAGTTGCTACCTCCTGCTCACTAGGCCCAATCAGCATAACATCATCAATGTAATGGACCAGTGTGATATCCTGTGGCAGAGAAAAGCGATCAAGATCCCTTCGAACCAAGTTATGACATGGGGCTGGCAAGTTAATATACCCCTGAGGTAAGACTGTGAAGGTATATTGCTGGCCTTGCCAGCTAAAAGCAAATTGTTTCTGATGATCCTTATGGATAGGTATGGAGAAAAAGGCATTTGCCAAATCGATAGCTGCATACCAAGTACCAGGAGATGTGTTAATTAGCTCAAGCAAGGAAACCACATCTGGTACTGCAGCTGCAATTGGAGTCACCACCTGATTCATTTTACGGTAATCCACCGTCATTCTCCAAGACCCCTCTGTCTTCTGCACAGGCCAAATGGGGGAATTGAATGGAGATGTGGTGGGCACCACTACCCCTGCATCCTTTAAGTCCTTGATGGTGGCAGTAATCTCTTGGATCCCTCCAGGAATGCAATACTGCTTCTGGTTTACTATTTTACCAGGCAAAGGCAACTCTAGTGGCTTCCATTTGGCCTTCCCAACCATGATAGCCCTCACATTACAGGTTAGGGAACCAATGTGAGGATTCTGCCAGGTACTAATTACATCAATCCCAATTATACATTCTGGGACAGGGGAAGTAACTACAGGGTGAATCCGAGGACCTTATTGGACCCACTGTAAGTCGGACCTTTGCTAAAACTCCATTGATCACCTGGCCTCCATAGGCCCCTACTCTAACTGGAGGGCCACAGTGACGTTTTAGATCCCCTGGAATCAGTGTTAGTTCAGAAACAGTGTCCAGTAATCCCTGAAATGTCTGATCATTCCCCTTCCCCCAGTGGACAGTCACTCGAGTAAAAGGCCTTAGGTCCCTCTGGGGAAGGATGGGAGAAAGATTAACAGTGTAAATTTTTGGTGCATCAGAGTCCTTCTCCAAGGGGACCTGGCCTCCAAATCATTCGAGGGGTTCTGGGTCTGTTAACTGGCTCAAATCTGGGAACTGGTTGAGGGGCCGTGATTCCCTGTTAGCACGATTTGATGTAAGGTTCTGTTCTTTTGCCCATAAATTTTTTCGATTATATAAATCTAGTAAAAATTTTGTAGGCTTCCTATCTATTTCACTTCTAGGAACGCCATGGCTAATCAGCCAACACCAGAGGTCTGCACGTGTTAAATTTTTCTGGTTATTGTTCTGCCTTTGTTGTCCATTACAGTAAGTACGTGGACCCTGCTTTTGGCGATTAAATGCCGCCACTTGACCTCTGCCACTCCGGGACCCAATCAAGCCCATTGTCCTTAAATGTCCTAATTGAGTAACTGCAGTCCCCACTGTAAGGTCTGGCATGCAAAGAAGAGCAATAACAGGGCCCTTCAGGATGTCGGTGCTCTCCTCACAAATCTGTTTCTCAAGGTGCTGGTGGAGGGTATGTTTTCTGGATCATCCCCATGTGGAGGATTAGGTTTAACTTGACAGATCCACTCCAGCATTCCCATTTCCCTGAGTCTCTGAATCCCCTCATCAATAGTAAACCATGGAATATCAGGCATCTCTAACTCATTCACAGTGGGCCATCTTTTGATCCATATCTCTGCCAACCATCCAAATAAACTATTAACACCTTTCTTCACTCCACAAGCTATGACATTAAATTCAGAATCCTTACTTAATGGGCCCATATCAACAAATTCAGCCTGATCCAGATGTATGTTTTTGCCACCATTATCCCACACTCGTAAAATCCAGTCCCATGCTTGCTCATCAGGCCTCTGCCTGTAAGAGTTGGAAAACTCAAGAAGCTCTTTGGGAGTATAGCAAACCTCTTCATGGGTCACAGTATGTATCTCTCCTTTAGGCGCTTTCTGTGATTTGAGCCTGGTTATGGGCCTGGAGGCAAAAATGGGTATTAAGGGTGGGTCCTAAGGAGCAGCAGAATAATCCTGTTTAGTCAACATAGCATTAGCTTCCCCAAGTATGCTAGGAGATTCCAACACAGCAGCGGGTGGAGGTGGTAACGCCTCTGCCATTTCAGGTGGGGAAATCTCTCCCTCAGGCAAAATAACTTCATTAGCATCCAGAAATTCAGTATCTTCACTTTCCTCAGAATCCTCCCAATTCATGGGATCCCACTCTTTCCCAACCAATGCCCTCACCTTTGCTTCTGATACCCTTCGAGGCTGAGCATTAAATTTACATTGTAGTTCAGCCAATCGAATTATAAGGGACTGTGTCTGGGTTTCTGCAATCTCAGCCTTGCAGCTAAAAGAGAGGAGATTTTCACTCATGACACACTGAGAAACTTTCAAATTTCTTATCTGTTTCTGGAGATGCGATTTTTCATTCATTAGTTTGTCCAAAGCGGCTAAGACCAGCCATCCAGCATCATTATATTGTCTACTGTGCCAAAGATATTCAAAATTGTTTTGTACAGAGTCACTAAATTTTTGACATCTCACAATTGGTGAATTAGGATAATCAAATGGATCTATGAGACGTATTAGTTTAAACAGTTCATGCCAAGGATTATCAGTATATTCCACAGAAGTAGAAGCAGAGACCTTGGTGTCTTCAGGTCTCACCAAATTGCAGAGCCAACTCCAGGAAGCTCTAACACCATTAAAGAATGCCATTGTTATAATTCTGTTTCTCTAGGACCGCTCTCGGGTACCAAAATCTGTATCAGTCAGGGTTTTACTAGAGAGAACAGATATAACCCGGAATATACAGAAACAACAAGATTAGCTTCCGATAGTCAGTCACAGAGTACGATGAGGAAGCGTGCAGAGGGTGTCTATGCACTGGAGGCCGAAGGGTTCAATCCAAGATCTCTGGAGTTCACCCTAGTGTCTTGTGCAAGTCCACACCAGCAGGCTGATGGGTCCGCGACAGAAGGCCGAAGGCTCTGTGATGAAAAGCTGAAGAATCTACGCTGGGAAGCTGAAGAGTCTGTAGTGGAAGCCAGGAGGCGAGGTCCAAACTTCTGAGGAAGACTGGAGCTTCTCCCAAGAAGGGCATAGATTTGTCCTTCCTCCTCTCCTTTTATACCTCGAGGTGATAACTCACCCTAGGGTGGGTCTTCTTCTACATCCTTGGGTGTAGAATTGCTAAACCCATTTAGTTAGCTTCTAACTGAAGATATTTTGAATTATAGTCCTTTTTTTGAGTATTATAATAATCTTATTTTGCCCTGCCTTTTTATATTCCTTGTATCTTGTGATAAATAGAAATTCTTAATTATTATCTTATAGCAATTTTCAATTTTTTTACAGCCAGTTTTGATATCTTATTAGAATATCTTCTCTACATCAAGGTTATAAGTATACAGTTGTAAACATTTGAAGCTTTGGCCTTTTACATTGCAGTCTCTAATTTATCAGGAATTGATTTTTGTGTATGGTATAGAGTAGAGATCCAATGTCATATTTCTTTACATAGATAATCAATTACCCCAGCACCATTTATTGACTAGCTCGTCTGTTTTAGTTGAGGTCTTCAAAAGCAAAACCTCGAATAACATCTTGAATGCACGTTATTTGGGAGACGACCTCAAGGAACAAGAGCGAGGGATAAGGCAAGAGGCAGGGAAGGGCACAGTAATAAAATTGCTATTGTGGGATGCACAGGTTCAAGTTCAGGACCTGATGTACTATGAAAAGAATGTCTTCCTGAAAGATGGGAAACAGTGATTTAACCATCATCTTTCATTTCCCTTTGCTGGAGACCTGGCCCAAGAAGATAAGGCTCATACTTCTAGACTGCCTCATAGAATCAGACTGAGCCCTGGGGTAGAACATGGACCAGCCTCGAAGAGGCACAAGCCCAGTGGCAGATGAATGAGCTGGCATGGAACTCTGATTACAGGTAAACTGAGTGGGGACATCCGGGCACCAGGGTAGTCTTCTGTGTTTGCCATAACTGTTCTTATCTTGCAATAGAGATCTGTCCAAGGGGTCCTGACAATAGCGTGGTCCACATGAACTTTTCCACATGCTCCATGATCCAGGAGGTGACTTGGATAAATGGCTCAACTGATATCCGTGCCATATGCCCACAAGGATCCCTTGAAGAACAGCAGAAGAAGAGGAGAGTTAACATTTCTTCTTTCTGCTTTCTCACTGTAGAGCAGAGCCTCAGGGTGGCTGAGTTTTCTCTCAAGGTCTTTCCCTGTCTGAGGACTGGCCATCACTTGCTACCCTCATGCTTCAAGGCCTAGGTAGTCACGGCCCTACCTGTCTTTGTAGAATATCACTTTACTAAACCCTCTGATATTGACATGCAATCTGTTCCTTTGGGGATCATGACTGATAGGTGTGACTGAGTTCCCCTTACAGGGACAAGGACTACTGCCCTCTGACTAAAAGGACAGCACACAAAGCTGCCGAGGTTCACTGTGTTGTCCCTAGGTGCCAGCTCTGTGTGTTCACATTGCCTGAGGTACAGAAGAGGCAAGATGAGTTTACCCAGATTCTGTCCCAGGGAAGCTTCTGGTGTAGTGAGAAGGTGAATTGAGAGTAGGAACATGGCACTGTGGGTGGGGAGCAGGGAGTGTTTAGAGCGGATCTCGAGCTGAGTTTGTCCCACATCACAGTGAGCTTCCCCCCAGACAGATCCTGTTAAAGTCTTCTTGGTACTTCCCCATATCAATCATTTCCTCTCTCTTCCTCTCCATCCTGACCCATGTTGGGCTTTTCTCTTAGTCTCTTTCACGGTTGCAGTTTCTAAGGTTTCTGCTGACTGCCTAATGTCTCTTTTATAGATATTCATATGATGAACAAACAGGCTTTCGATACATAAATATCATATTGATAAGAGAGCATATAAAGAAAATGGGGAAATTCATGGTGTTTTGACCAAGCCCAGGGATTTTGTGGTTATACCCACCCCCACCCCATCTTCTGAAATCTGCAGAAGCTTTTACACTAATAGCTGTGATTTGCATAATATCTGGAGTGCAGCAGAACAAAAAGCCGTGCTGCAGAGAGACAGTCTCACTCTGCCCGTGTGGGACAAGACCTTGTATTAGGAAAAGGGCAAACCAATACATAGGTCCCTGAGTATGTGTGAGACTGAAGTGGCATGCATGGAATGGGTACAGTGGATCTGAAGGTGGCTTCCACGCCATTCACCTGTGACAGTAGTCCAGATCTATCACAGGAAGGAGTGAGGAAGCCTGCTCCTGAGCAACTCCAGGCCAGGCCATCCTTGGCTACCAGCTTCTGCTCAGGCATTGACAATTCTGACTGAGGGCAAAGTCTTGGAATTGGGATTCATCTACCGATGGAGTGCTTTGGAGAAATCAGTCACTGTCAAAACCATGCCATTATCCATGCTAGGCTTACAGTGATGAAAGTTTCTCTTTCAATGGGCTGAATGTTTGTCCTTGGAGATGTTTATCCAAAGGAGACCTGTGTAGCCTGAAGGAAAACAAATTGACCTCTAACTGGAAAAGAGCAGGCTCCTCAGGTGCTGGGCTTCAGAAGTTACTTCTCCTTGAGAATACAGGTGATAAAGCTTCATGAGGGTCTTGTGACAATTTGAGATGTGGTGCACTATGTGTGCATGTGTGCGTGTGTGTGCGTGTGTGTGCGTGTGTGTGTGTGTGTGTGTGTGTGTGTGTGTGGTTACTTCATAGGTGCTATTATTCATTTAATTTTCATGGTATTCCTTTGCCAAAATTTTAATTCATAGTTTGTGCTGAGAGGTGTTCTTTGGGATAAAATTTATCATTGTCTTCTGGAAGACAAGAGTCACAGTTACAGATATTTTACTAACAAATTCCTCACTAGAAAGTCTTATTGTTCATACCACCTGCTACCTAACACTCTTTTGAAGATTAAACGCATTTTATCAGGTTGATTGTAACAGGTTTGTCTGCAGGGGATCTCATGGCCACAGACACAGAGGTCCACAGGAGAGACTGAAGATCTCACAAAAGTCCACAGAGTTCTCAAGAGGACAGCAGATGCAGAGGTGTGCGTGGCTGAATCCCAGTGCCAAAGGACATTCTTCCCTTTTCCCTACACTGTGCCGGTAAGCCTCTTATTCCTCCCTGGGCTACAACTGTTGTTAACGTTCAGATATGGAGATAATGGTTTTAATTAAACTACTTTGCTGTTTACTACTGCTTCGGGAATTTGCTAATTAATCTTTATGTAATTGTTTTGCAATGGTTGTACAGCAAAAGTTCTTAAATTATAAGTTGAATCTCTCACAGAGAATCTAATTTCTAATCATAGTCCCATGTTAATAACCAACAATAGAGGTGGGAAATTAACCACTGAAGGTGGCTCCTCATTTGGAATTTCTGTGTCTTCAATCTGCCAAGTTGTCCAGGATGTGATGAGCCTGCTCTGTGGGCTCAGCATTTTGGTGATGGTGGAGGAACTGTTGATGTCCATACTTTACCCCTATTAGTAGAGTATGTGTTTCTAAAAGGAGAATGCTTTATAGATGAATAATGCCACCATCTACTGAACCTAAGACACTTCCTTGACTAATGAAGCCCCTGTTAATAGAAGCTCTGTGTGTGTCATACCTGTTGAACCTTTAAAGGAGTAATAAAGTGTTAATGTGTCTGGGATACCTCCACAATATGTGACCTGGAGTTAAATAATAAACACTGGAGGTGATTTTTTCAAGGGAAGAAGAGAAGCCCTCTGGTACACCTAGAACTCATTTTCCTAACTTGATCAGTGATCATTTTTGATTGAGGGTTCTGGTCCCACGTCAAGAAAGGTACAAGATTTGGGAAGTTGTAATGCCTCTCTTTGAACAAGTGCCCCAGAACAGCATATCATTTTCACAATGTCTGGCTTGATCTGGAATCAAGGCTGATCTGATAACTAAGAACTCCATCAACCTTGGGTCAGGGGTCATACTCTTGAGCCAGACTGCCTAGGCTCAAAGCCTGACAGTGTTGTGTCTTGGTTTTGTGATCATAGCTAGTTAATCAAACTCTTTGGGTTTAGTTATTGAACTTCTATAAAACAAGGTCTTATAAAGGGTATATATCTATAGAACTATTATAATGACTTAATGAGATAAAACACATGAAGATCTTAATACACTGCAACACAGAAACCACTTCTGTTTCTTATCACCTTCATCATCATCATCATCAGTCTCTTAGGATATTTTATTCATGTTTGCATTTATAACCCCTACTACTATAGTGCATTCTTTTAGCTATAATATTACTAGAACCAAATACTTCTTTTTTGTAGTATTTTCTAGTTTGGGGAGAAAGTTTGGTTTAACTTCATCCATGATCTTAGGTATATTTGCACACTGCTGACACTAGCCATATTGATTATAGACAAATAATTCAGGCATGACAGGCAATGGGCACCTTTGCTCACAGTGGGATACCTTGCACATGGACTATAGCATTCTTGTACCAGGTTTGGGATCCATTCAGACTCCTCAACAAACTGCTTCACTATCTAGGAGTAGGCATCTTAACCCAGGAAACAATCCCACAGCAATTTGGATGCTGTTACTTTACTAGGAGATGCAATCCCATCAAGTGAAATGATGATTCCAGATAAGAGAAGCAGGGGAGAAAAAGCAAATACAAGGTGATATTTTACCAAACTGTCTATGGGTTCTTGAGCACTTCAGGTGGTCACCC